ATGAAATTTCAACACTACGATGGACGTCGATTTCAAAACGAATATAGAAAAAGATGTTATGGAACATAGCGTGCAGAAAACGTTATTTGATTAGGCGAAAGTCTTAATCCGATAAATGTTCGTCATGCATATAAACCGCAAATATAAGACTGATATATATTATTATTGATCTGGGACCGGTTGTATACGAAGGCCGGATAACGCTATCCACCGGATAGTGACTTTTTCAACCTTTGTAAAATGCTTCATGCTTGAAAAACTGTGAAACTACGGATATAGGCGACACAAGAAGTATAAAAAGCATTTAACTTATAAATACTGAACTTTAATAATACGAGTTATACCCAATCAACGACTGATTTAACAAAGCTTGAAAAAATCACTATCCGCGCGGTGGATAGCGCAATCCAGCCATCGTACAACCGACCCCTGGCCTATAGAGCGTTTGCACTCATTCTCCGGGGACCAACACAACAAAAGCCATGGCAGCCATGTTGGTGTTCCAGACAAAAGAGTTTAATTAAAGTTCTTTTGAATTGGAACACGAACATGGAGGCTGTGACGTCATGTGCGAACGCCCTATATATTTCAAAAGCAGTTAAAGAATTCTGTTTTATCATTTGGTGTTGTTGCCGATATTACCTGGTTTGAGAAGTCCCAGAAATGTTGACGATAATTAGCTATAGTGTCATCATCAACCATTTACATCTATTTAAATTAGTCGTTGGATATACCAATTTGTTCTAATTCGCGCTTCGATTGTATATGACTATTACATGTGTCAAGCTTGCTTAATTAAATGAAATAGCTGTATTATAGTATAATTAACTATAAAGTATATTATAAAGTATACCATTAAATATGACGGAAAACGCTATTCTTTTCGTTTGTGTCTTCTTAATCACTGTACATACTACATGTAATACATTTATGTAATATCGTAACTGTACATGTAATAATTGAATATATAGAGGAATACTTTTCAGAGAAGGACGTATTATATCACACATTTAATTAAATAAATAAATCCCACTCTGCTTGGAAGAGGAAGACTTGCCAGAAATATCAATAAGAATGTTTACCTAATACAATTAGAGTCGTTGAATATTATAATCAGGTACTCTCCCCAGCTTAGGTGACTTCCTTCCTCTTGTGTAATGCACTATGAACTAGTTTTAAAGAATCATGTATTATTTGCACAATTGCCTGGGTGATATCAAATAACATATAACCTTTTCACGCTCTTCAAGTAACACTTACTTTATAGAGACAAGTCTAACTGACCGTCATATTGAATAAAATGATTAGTGCATGCCAGTTTATCGGTAATTTTTTGAGCTGAGTAGATCAATAGATTTGGAAACGTTTTCTGTAATTAATCCATCATCTAACTTAAAAATTGTTTGAGATTGGATGGAAATGTACCAAATAAACAATTTTCCTCGACATCGACATTTATTGCTCATGTTAAAATAAAAAAATAACATAAGCCCGCAATGCATGACCCTGATTAAAAGCTGCTCTGGTAGAGATAATTCTATTTGAAAAGGTACTTTCAACGTATCTGGTTTTCATGTATACGGTTTATCAATCCGTCGGAAGGAAAGGACAGGTGTAATTATTAAAAGTAAAAGGATACGCCCTAATTAAGTTTCATAAAAGATCATAAAAGACTATGAAGGTTTCACGAACATGAAGCAGTGTTCTAATTAAATTTTTGAGAAAACTGTGGCTGACGCATGTCTATAGTCTATACCTTAGGATAGAGACATGGTTCAGCCACAGTTGATCCTTTTTGTACCAGTCATAACAGTGCTTACATAGTATCGTTAACATGATTTTATCATAGAGCCAAAAGAGGAAGATTTACAAAGATTTCCAACATATTCATGTCGTTAACTCTCTAGAATATCACTCTTAGATAAAATTAAAATCTAATATGGAGCATACGCAACGGTTTTCTGCACCCATTAACCTAGAAAAGGAAGACATCTCACCAAGTTAACGTATACAGCTTTTGAAAAGTACAGTCGCTTAACTGCTATAGAAATCAGTTACGATCGAACAGGAACATTAGGGAAGGAAACGGGAACGACATCTTCAGATCCCCACTACGCAATGGGTCGTGCATGGATAGCAGTAACGGAATAACGGTCAATGTATGGAACAGCCTATATCAAAGGTAAACCGACGAATGCTATCATATAAAATGCGATAGATTTCGCAGGATTTCATAAGTTACCTCGTTCAATTCAAGGTTGTTGATATAATAAGAAGAAATCCACGAAGCAATAAAGAGTGACCAGAGATGATTTGTGGTGGAAATTACAAAATTTCAGTTGTGTTTCTGGCTTTCCTTGCTCTGCAACTGGCATTGTGCAACGTGCTAAGACAAGCACAAGGTATATAATTATATAAACTGAAAAATAATTATTAGTGAATACATTTCGCATAATGTTCTCTACATCTCATTTTGCTTGTATGTACATAAAAAATTATCACATTCACCAACCTTGATCTTAATTTATTGGGGCACAGCATGCAATCGAGATCACTCAACATGATTACATGACCACTGTTAGACATCTAAAAAATACTACTAAACTAAAAAAATACTAAATTTAAAATGTGAACTGAAGGGTTAATATGTATCTCTCATTTTTAATTAATTTCATACCATTTAATGACTTTGTTCGATAAAACTTGCGTTATGAAATTCGTAATCATGCATGGTACGTTACGTGGCGATGATTTGCTATCATGATAATGTAAGTACATAATGGAACAGAGGTAACCAAGCACGCTCCAACCAATCACGGGCATAGTAATCTGCAATGATTAATGTTTTGTGCTTATTAGCCGTAGGTTGTGTGGATACGAATGTACACTGTAATGCCTGGACTCAAAAAGGAAATTGTCACACTGGTAGCCAATACCGATCATTTATGATGAAATATTGCAAGAAGGCATGTTGTGCAAATTATAACAAAAGTTGTTCATTTTGGGCATCGAATGGAGAGTGTACAAACAACCCTCTGTATATGTACAAGAACTGCAAGGGAGCTTGTTACGCTTGTACATGCTAAGTAAGTTAATGTGCAATTGATATAATCAAAATATTTTAAATTCTAGTTGTATTCAGAATTTTTGATATGCAGTTGAGGTATAGACCATAGGGTAGCTACATAAAATGATCAAGTTTAATTAATGAGTAATAGGCTTTCATATTTAATACTATTTTGAATTATTTTATGTCTCGTTTATTCTAGATTACCTGAATGAGCTGTGCAGATTTTTTGGCCTTATTTCAATATTAGCTAGATTGTATAGCACTTCTCTTATTATTTATTATAACTATATTTGCTGTAACTGCTGTAGTTTTCAGATAATTAAATGTAATTGCTTTGCTTTTAAAATAAAAAGTGCTCATTACTTGGTATGGTGTGCTGCTATATTTTCATAGTTGATAAAAAAAGGAACATGATTTATAATAAGAGCGACATAATTTTAGTGTTCTAATAAATAAATGTTTTTCATCTGCGTTATGAAAGCTTGGGTACTTTACCATCTCAAAACTTTCAATAGGTACACAATTTCAGTGCAAATAACTGAAGTAGATTATTTATCGATTGGCTGGTTAAAAGATTAACAGTTTTTATGGATTAACAATCGAGACTGTAGTAGGTTATCTAAGTTTCTCCAAGTTTCATAGTAAAGTTATATCCGGGTAACGGGAGATGAGTAAAAAATCATGTGTCATATATTTGCCGCTGAATGGGTTAATTAACTAGCATTTCTCACGCCACCATTTTGGGGTACTGCCTTTTCCAAATCTGAGATTGTACGCAGTGAATGATGGATTTGTATAACAATAATTGTGAGTATAATCATTATAAATTAATTTGTTGAATATTTGAAAAAAATGTTTTCACATCGCTTAGATTTTTCACGTCGTTTTAAAAAATTACCCCAAAATGGGGAATTTGGCCTACGTGAGAAAGGCTAATTGCCTAATTATCAGCACGTTGGATAGAGACTGTTGTCATGGCAACAATAATCTTTTGTTCAACAATTAATTTGGAAACGAAAATACGAAAGGCAACAGCTCTGCTTTCTAATTGCTAAAATAAATCATTTTTGTTCGAGAAGTAAGATCTTATTATTAAATATGTTATCTGTATTTCGTGGTCGTGCAGATGAACCATCAGAAATCAAGATCGGACAGAAGATAAAATACTTTTATATAATATTGACAATTATCAAGAATCGTGGTTCAGGACTGACAACTCCGGCTGTATTCGTCACACATGCACGTTTTTGCAGTAAGTCAACAGTCACAAATCCCTCCTTGTTTGCCGCAGCAAACATGAGGTGCAGCAGTAGTAAAACCTCGACATAAACATTTTTCAGTTTGAACGTGTTTTCTGCACCTTCCACTGCACCGCCGTATGTCTCGTGTCATCACTTCATCCAAATTGCCACGAAGTGTTTCAAGTTTTCCATTTATTTCCGTTTTATATTCAGCTTCTCTCTCGAGTATCCGCTTTTCCATAATCCGAATATATTTACGTACTTTCTTCAGACTGTCCTGAAGTCCGACTACAATGGAAGCTTGGTTTTCAATAACCTGACAGAGTTCAGAAATGCAGTTATGTTTCCCTTTTAGCGCGTGTTTTACTGACAATCCACAAATACACTTATACTCTGCATCTGGTGTACATTTTACTGGTTTTTCCAAAATCTCATCAGTATTTGTAAAATTGTCCATGAAACTTGAGCAAGGATGTGGTTCATCAGCAACTTCAACTAATTTTTGACTGTTTCCTACATTGCTTCTAACTCTACTTGCAAAACACTCGTTGCAGTTTGCTGGCGCAGTAATGACTTCAACAGAAACGGTTCCCTTGCCATTTTCCCAATATAACGTCGATTCGTTAACCGTATCTGAATTTAACGCCATACGTACCAGCGGCTCTAATTACAGTCGTCTTTGTATGCACGAAATTTACGCATGCCAATTGTCACGTCATAAATTGATTGATAATGTAAACCATGCAGATGATGTGTGCAAGCACGCTATGATTGCACGTAGATAAAAAATATAGGCAATATAATGTACAATATGAGCTACCAGGAAGTGCTTCTTCGGCAGCTATAAGCGATCAAAAATATATTTTGAAATGCTGTAATATAACTGTATGCATGTATACAATCATGATATAGGTATAGGCCTACAGGTTGTCTCCCTAAAAAGCGGAATCCATCTAAATGATTATGTATTCATTGCAATGATCAACTAATTATAATACAGTAGTTTGATGACTTTGACACATGCGAGTCTTCAGTTTGCAAAATTAAATACCCTAATTAAAATTTGGTCACCAAAATCTTTCAGCGTCGGTGTTTGCACCGAGAGTTAAACGGACGAATCGATCGCGAGGGTTAAATGTGTAGTAGTGCAATCAAATAATTCATTGAATTCATGAAGATAGAAACGTGTTATGTTAACCGAATTGTTCTCGAGTGAAAATTGCCAAGTGACAGAGGTCTAATTCACGCATGTTTTAGTGATTCCTACCCTTTATTTATTTATAGGCCTACATTTTTTTTTCATAATGTGCATCCAAATCAGCGTAACGTTGCAAGTTTTCGCTTTAACATGCTTACGGGCAATTTCTCTTAAAGAAAGTTTTTTTTATATATGATAGCAACAGCGCTGCGTTTACAGAGGGTCCAGAAAGGGTACTACGGGAACTTGGATTTGCCTATTTTCGGACTGAGAAAATTGGATTTGGGTTACTGGGACTGGGAACAAAATACACAAAAATGAGATTGGGAAACAAATATACCACTATTAAAACAGTTGCACATTTCAGAGTAAAATAATTTTAAGAACAGCTACAGATCTAGAGCAATTTTTGATAGAGAATTTGTCTAAAATTAACCGACTTACGATTCAATGAGGTCCTTTTTCTGCTATCGTAGTTCAGTCATATTGCCGGCAAAATTAGTTCTAAATTAAAGAGGGCAAATGAAGACAGGATTGTTTGAATGAACCACGTGCTCGGACATTTTCTTTCAATTTCAGTGGTATTGGGATTTGATCTATAGAAAGGGCTGGGAAAGGGATTCAGAGAAAATTTAGGCTGGGAAATTGGATCTAGATCCGCCCTTGAGGAAACTCTTCACAAAAATAATAGACAACGGCTTGCCAACAGGCGTTGTCTCTTTATTTTAAAAAAGCCCAACATTTTACAAAGATTTACAAAATTTTATAAAGATTACAAAATTTTATAAAGATCACAAAATTTTATAAGACCTATATAGAGCCAACATGAATTCAATCTTACTTAACAAAAAGAAGCCAATGCATGGGATCCCTCATGATGTTGTTGTTGTTGTGTATTAATGATTTTCCACAATACCTACAAAACACAACCCCAGCTTTATATTCCGCGATGCATGATACTCAAATATATGCATCCCAATTACTCGCTGGGGCACCTATGCCCGGGCGAGTATAGGTTTCGGTTCGCATTTTTCGCGGATCGGCAATCTCCAATCGTCATCGATAGGCCACAAATAGCTGCCTAATTTTTACCCAAATTATCCATAAGAATCCATAAGACTCCTGCCAATTTTTTGCTCAAATTCTCCATCAATAACCCTAAATTTGAGGAAAATTCAAGAATTTTACTAAAAAAGCACTAAAAAAGCCAAAGCTGCTATTTATTCGGACCACTTTTTGTACGGCATTGTGAATGCAACCCTTAGTGCAAATAAATCCTGTTACGGTCAAAAGAACATCTTAGAGCTCGACAAAGATAGCGATGCACAGCTACTTGTGTGGAACTTCGTCGCCGCCGGCGCCTGAAGGTCAGGCAAGCATGATATTAAATCAGGAGTCAGGTGACAACTCGAATCAATTGGCCATTTGATTCTGTTGTACCGTATATACAGTAATGTGCATATTTGTATAGTCCCAGCGAGTTAACGCTCTATAGAGCGTCTTGTTGAGTTTTACAGACCAGGTGGCAAATTCTGACAACATGCATCATGTGTAGCGTGGCTAAACAAAAATTGTAAGAAAAAAATAAAAAATTCAATAACTTCCCATTATCTAATCAATTATCTATTTATTTACTTTAAGATATTTCCACCACTCTTTCGTCACAGGTTTGAATTTGACCGTGCCCAAAAGAAATTGAAATATTTGCAAGGACTGTAAATTTTGCCCAATTTCAGAAAATAATTATTAAAAGCATTTGCAATCTAAGCCTTGTTAGATAAAAGTAAGTTCTCTATCTTTATAACACCAGGGGATTCCCTAAGATTTCTCATGGATAATGTCTTTTTTCAGAGAATTGAAGTTTTGTTGAATTCAATTAATTTTGAATAATTTCGAGGCTTCAGACATTAACTTTATTACAATACTCCATAAATTTCGGTCCATGATGAGGATCTGAAAATAGTCCCCTTTATTAGTTAGTTCACGAATCTCATTGGTCACAACATGTGGAATAAATTATTCTATGATGTCCCCGATACACGTTCTTCACCAATAAAAAAGCGGCGTATAAGTGGGAAAAAAGAGGCGTATAATTGAGAAAAAAACCTGGATTTCTTCCAAAATAAGGGAAGTCATGCGAGACCGAGACAATCACAATTTCAAAGCTATTAAATCAAATTTTAATTACTTTTGCTGCGGAATTAAGTTAATTAACCGTGAAATCAGCAAAATCGAGATACTACAGGTGCGTCTCAAAAAATTAGAATATTATCTCGCCATTTAAACTAGTCTTCGCACATGTTTTTATTGTAGTATATGATGTCAAGAAAAAATTATTTAGTTTTACATGTAATGATTTGTTCAAAGGAAATTTTTCAAAGACATTCTAATTTTCTGGGATGCACCTGTAGGCTATATCAATGTGATTGAAAATAATAAAAGTGATGAAAAATCGATATGGAAAGGATGCATGCAACCGCTTGCAACACGAAATGTTCGACACCAAGTTCAAAACAGATCATAATAACTACAAATATTTCCTTATTAACTACAAATATTTCCTCGCAATATTCAAAGTGTCAATTTTAAGTTCAAAAAGCTACTACTAAATTGAATTCTTAAAATTGAGATTCTAGTAAAGTATCAAATACATCTGATACGACAAAGTTTCCACCTCAGAGTGGTGCAGACATGTAGAGCACAGCGCCATTGGAAGCCGCTGCCATAGTCGATAACCATCCCGCTCCTTTATCTTTCTCCTCAGAAGCGAAGACTCCTTTCAAATTTCCTTTCCCATCGAACACTTGAATCGAGCCATAAGTGAAATCAGATACCCATATATGATCCCAGTGATCAACAACTACGGTAATGGGTGCCCAGAATTGACCTCTTCCTTCTCCTGGTTCGCCAAACTTCTGCAAAACCTGACCATCTCGGCTGAAGACCTTTACGCATTCAACTGCATTCGCTGCATCAAAACCACCAGGAGGGCCTGTCAAAGGAGGGAAATTTGAAAACCACAACGAAGATTCGGCGACAATAATCTGACCTTGGCTGTTGAACTGAATGGAAACAGGGTACATCATTTTGCCATCCTGCTCGTCACCAAATGAACACTTGAACGAGGTATCTGGGTTAAATAACTGAATACGATGATTTCCTGCATCACATACAGCAATATTATCGTACGAATCAGTCGTTACGCCAAGAGGGGTTTCCAGTTCTCCACGACCTGTACCTTCACTACCAATTTCATGAAGAAAAGTTCCGTCTGTTTTGAACACGAACAACTTATGGCTGCCAGTATCCGATACAATGATCCGACCTTCACTATTGACGGTAAAAATCCACGGTTTCGTCATCACATTGAACAGATCAAAGATATACAAATTATTAAAATCAGCATCAAATACACGGAGAACTGGTACGGTGAGGATATATATGTTGCCAACAAGGTCAATTCGAACAGTTACGCGAACTTCATTCAAGCACCCCTCAAATTTATCCGTTGGTAATTTTTGAAGCAGGGTTGTATCTACTGAATAATCAGGTTCACCATTGACCTCCAAGGTGCGTGGACTTCCTCGCAGAGAATTTCCCTCGACTTGAACAGCCAGGCGATGACGTCCCGGAATGTAACTGGTGAAATGCACGGAGATTGAGCCATCATCGCGTAGTTGCAGCTTCGCTTGGATTACCGTCTGCTTTGGAGTAAGCGCTTTAGCTTGGAACAAATTAAGATCTGGAGGAGATGGTGGCCCTCTGCGTCGATTGCTTGACTGAATTATAATCTCAACATTTTTACCAACATCAAACACCTATACAGCACAACAAAATGATTATTTAGCTTTGTTTTGTAATGCTTATGCTGCTTATGCGGAGGGAAATCCAACCTTGCTGGTCGTGCTTGGGTATTTAAGCCGCTCCCTTGGAGGAGAAAGCAATATTAGTCTGAAATGTCTGTAAGATGGTCAGCAAGACGATAATCAGTCATTTTTTGTTGTTGTTTTATCAAACATTATAACAACGAATAGACCATAAATATGAATAGTCATGGAGGACCGTACATACATATGATTCAACCAACTAAAGTCGCAGTTAATTGTTGAAAAAATTTGTAGATGGAACTTTCGAGTGGAATTTTTATATATTCGAAATTTCCATATATTTGTATACAAATCCCCTCAACAATTTGATATATCGAGTGAGATGCCCACATCACAGACCAATCAACCAATTAGCCTACCCCAACGTCCCATATTATTTCAATCATTTCATTCTGAGATTTTAAAGGTTGTTGACAGACATGCACCTGTAACTAGAATTTCTAGAAATGAGGTTAAAACTATGTCAAAACCGTGGATTACTTCTGGTATTAGAAAATCAATTAAGAGGAAAAATAAACTTTATAAGAAATATTTATCAACAAAAAATGAATATTATAAATCTAAATACAAGTGCTATCGAAATAAATTAAATCATTTGCAACGTATTAGTAAAAAAATCTACTATGAGAATTACTTTACTGCTAATAATAAGAATATCAAAAATACTTGGAAGGGAATTAAACAACTTATTACCTTGAAACCTAGGGGACATAGCTTACCTACAAAAATTATAAAGGATGGCCAGGAGATAAAAGATACTAAGAATATATCCTTGGCATTCAATGAATACTTTTCTAATATTGGAAAGAACATTGCAGATTCTGTTCCATGCACTAATACAAGGACACAAGCTTTTATGGGTAGTCCTGTGCCAAACAGCTTCTTTATGACTCCTATTCTAAAAAGTGAAATTGAGTCTGAAATTGGAAAACTTAAATCTTCCAAAGCAACAGGCCCTTTTAGTATTCCAATTAATTTACTAAAAACAGTTAAATCTAGCCTGTCTACTCCTCTTGAAATAATATTCAATCTTTCCTTCCTGACTGGTACGGTTCCAGACCAATTCAAAATAGCGAACGTGATTCCAATTCACAAAAAAGGCCCACTGACTATGTTAACAAATTATCGCCCAATCTCACTTCTCTCCATTTTTAGTAAAATTTTGGAAAAATTAATGTATACAAGATTAACTAGATTTATTGAAAAATATGAAATTTTATACAACAAACAGTTTGGTTTTCGTTCCAAGCATTCAACGTTACAAGCAGCTCTTTCAATAACTGATAACATTCAACAAGCAATTGAGAAGGGATGGTATTCTTGTGGAATATTTTTAGATTTTTCCAAAGCATTTGACACTGTAAACCATGACATCCTTCTCAACAAGCTTGATCATTATGGAATAAGAGGTTTGGCTTACGATTGGTTTTCCTCATATTTAAGTAACAGGCGCCAATTTGTTTCAATCGGGCATATCAAATCCGATGAAACTCCAATTAAATATGGTGTTCCACAAAGTTCAGTATTGGGTCCCCTTTTATTCCTCTTATATATTAATGACTTCCATAACTGCAGTGACATTTTTGAATTTAACATATTTGCAGATGACACTAATCTTTTTCATGCTAATGTAAATCTTGTTAATCTAGAAATAACTATTAATAGAAATTTGGAGAAAATTTTTGACTGGTTGGCAGCTAACAAACTGTCATTAAATATTGACAAAACAAACTTTGTTGTTTCACCCCCCTCAGCGAACTCCAAACCACGTGATTGCTTTATTTATCAACAATAGTCAAATTAAACAAGAAAAATATATCAAATACTTAGGAATTTTCCTTGACTCAAATTTACGTTGGAAAAGTCACATTACTCATATATCAAACAAAATTAAACGCTGCATTGGTGTAATCTCAAAAATTCGCAATTTCGTGGGTTTACATATACTTAAACAATTATACTATACTCTCATTTATCCATATTTGACGTACGCTTTACCAGTGTGGGGTAATACATATCAATCTAATCTTGATACTTTAATAAGGTTGCAGAAAAAGGCAGTCAGAATTATGACTTTCTCCAGTTTTAGGACACACTCAACCCCTCTTTTCAAACATTGTGACATACTTAAATTTGTCGATTTAATATATTATCAGAATGCTCTATTCATGTTTGACTTCCACGTGGGTAATTTACCCGCTGTCTTTGATAATTTCTTTCAAAATGTTTCCGAAATACATAATTATAACACTAGATCTTCTACAAAAAAATTTTTATATATTCCGAAAATTCGGACAGACTATGGTCGGTTTAATCTGCGCTACTGTGGTAGTTTAATCTGGAATTCCATTGATAGTAAATTGAAATCTCTAAGCAAATATAACTTCAAAAAATTATTTAAAAACTCTCTACTTCAAGCTTATAATGACTAAATTCGGTTTCCATTTGTGATATTTTTGATGATATATTCTTTTGCGTCTATTGTACTTTGTCTTTGCCTTAATGCATGTGATTTGATTATATACAGTATATACATTTCGTCTTTCGCTTGTGTCTTTTGTCTAAATGTGCTACTTAGCTTGATTAGCCCTTATGGTTATTTCTTTGTAGCCTTTACTCTATATTTGTGTAATGTATTTTGTTGTAAATTATTGTATCACCTCAGAGTATTAAATTTTTTCCTTTCCTTTTCCTTTCCTTTCCTAATAGTCAAGGCCATTCATCCAAAGAAAAAACCCACTCGATTAATGTTATCAGCCAGACTACAGAGATACATAGACAAAGGATAGACTGTCAGTCAGTAACCTGCCAACAAACCAACCAGGCAACAAACAAAGCAACCCAGCTTCGACGCGTTTTTTTCTCAACTCTACTGCCACCATCCCGAAGTTCCTCTAAATAGGAAATAGACCTAGGGAGCTTTACATTTGAACAAAATACCCAGTTTGCGTTTCCGTAATGTTCAGTAGGAAAATGGAATGCTACAGCGTGACAGGACTTGTAAATTATGGGAGGACTTGTAAATTATGGGAGGCTTGTTGGCCGCTTTCCATTTGACGGAAATTCCGGAAATCTTGCTTGAAAATCAAATGGAACACGTTAATTTCTGGAATACTGATTCTTTAATTATGAAGAATTTGACACTGCCGCTCAAATCTCTTCTTTCAGCAAATAAATCCAGACTCGAGGCGCTGAAATGGTTGAGAACCCGCCATTTTGGTTTTGGTGGCGGTTTTTGCTCGTCGAAGATTGGAAAGCAGCAACGTGATTGGAAAATGTTTTAATGGCATGTAAAAATTTCGAAACTTCCGGAATTTCCAATTTGTGGACAACCTCGAGAGTTTGTCCAAAATTTGTCCATTTGATTTTCAAGCAAGATTTCCATCAAATGGAAAGCGCCCTACTAATGTCGTTGCCTACTCAAGGCACTCCTTATTTATTTCTGGCTCTTTTTTAAGCTGTTTAGGAGAAGGAACAAGACCTAAAACTCGTACTTCACAGCGTAGATCGAGACACTGTATTGAATTTAACCTCTACCTTGAACCGTCTGGAAAATTTCTGAAACTCTTAATTTCACTATTTCACTTGTAGACGTAGAGAATAGTACCAATCAATTTGTTCCAAGTATATTTTCAAGCGTCCTTGCTCTAATTTGAACCTAATATGCCTCATCCTTCCCTGTTTGTGGATCTGTTGTAAACATTACACAGGCCAACACCATGCGAATTGTACTACTTTGGTCCCTAGCTCAACTTGATCATCACACTCAAGCTAGCACGATCTAAAACGCTATCCTTGTGAAACCATTCAATGTTGAGTTACTCTTCTTAGGTAGCTACTTTCCTAAAAGTGTTATTCTGTCACTAAAAACAGAGCAATGTTACTGTGTCACTCTAAATTTACAGTGCAAGTTTAATACAATCATAATTTCAGCCCTTACCTTGCCTCTTTCCTCAACCAATTCGAAGTGATCTGCCTGTAATGTCGGAATAACCAGCTCACCAAGACAAGTCGTAACCAAGTGACCCAAAGAGCTATCTACGACATCATCACCAGCATCAGACTGCAGAGAAACAGTTGGCGTTGCTTCGTTGTTATCGTCAAGCCAGAATGGATTTCGACCACTTATATCATTGACGTATCTCACCAAATGATCATACATATTCATCATCTCATCATCATTTCCGTTCGCCAGAAGATTTCGCATAAACAAGACATAGTTGCCCATTCTCTTCAAATCTGACTCTAACTGCCCTTCGTCTCTCTCATTTTGCTCAGCTTTATCTAACATAAGTTCTTCAAGTTGTGAAATCATTTCAGACGAACGACCTTAATATAAGTGAAACACAGAAACGTCTTTATACTTTGAGTAGCATTCACACTGGAGTTGAAAATAATTTAACTACGGTTGAGATATTATTTCAATCGAAATTAATATTTGGATTATTTATAAACAGATTATTTAAATTTTCAATTAAGGTGGCTATTAATATTGAGGTGGCTGCCTACTGTTTTAATGAAAAGAAACAAAATTACTATTTCAAATTTCGCCTTGTATTCTTCAGGTAGTTGCATCTCTATCGATCACCCGAATTTTTGCTGTTCTATAAACTCTTTAACACCTTAATTATTATTCTTTAATCCTCACAAACAGCTTTTCATCAACTATTTATTCAGTATTACCTATATATAACGATTTCTCTTCCTTTCAAACCCATTTGATATTCAACTATATATATATATATATATATATATATATATATATATATATATATATATATATATATATATATATATATATATATATATATATATATATATATTACCCCACTGTAGTGGAATTCTTGTAAAACGCCCATAATTTGCTAAACTGATCTAGATAGATGATTTGACCAGTATAGGAGAATTCATAAAGCCTTTTAGGTTTCTAGCCCCAGTCTTGTATATTATGGAATTATTTGAATATGCATGCAGATAATAAACAACAAAATATTAAAAACCTTCAATAGTTTGAATAAACTGCTGAATAAGATGCTCCTTCTTCTCGTTAAGCTTGGCGGTGATCGTATCAACCGATGTCTTGAGCTTCTCTTTCTTTTCACGACACGAATGTTGGACTTGTTTCACATGCGCGATGTGTTTCTCTGCCTTGCCCATTGCTTCAAGAGATCTCTCTCGACACTGTTCAGCCACATCTTTCAGGTTGGCAACGGAATGCGTGGCTAGGGGATGGTCAACTACCGTACAATCACGACATATCAATACGTTACAAGTACGACAGTAAAACCTGCAAGCAAGATCATGGTCGGCACATTTCATGGCGGGATGAAACTCTTTGGAAGTTGTCGGGGAGAGAAGATTCTTTAGATCAACGACCTTATGCTCTTCATACGTTTTCAGACGATTGTGTGCGTTAAGACACATCTGACAAAAGAATTCATCACATTCGATACACCGCACCATCGCCTTTAAACCGTCTTCACAATTGGAACACAGCAAACTTTCATTCTTCGATTTCAATTCAGCGACTTCCAACAAATTCTTAATAAAGAAATTCGTTGGTAATCCTTCGATACTCGATTGTGGTATGGCGGTTTCGTCACGACATAATGGACACGCGATTGAATCATATTTATTCGCTGTCTTTGTTATTTCGTTCAGACATTCCTTGCAAAATGAGTGAAGACATGTTAATGTCTTAGGTTCTCTGAACAGCTCCAAGCAAAGGGAGCAAGTAAGAAGTTCCTCTATAGTGACAGATGCTGTACCGGCGGCCATCTTGGCCACAGTATCTACACTTATGAAGTGTCTACACAATCAATGAAGGCTTTATCAAAATAATTGCTCCTTCCCTTTGAAAATTTTTTTCCGCATGGCTGGGATTGAAAATGATACTAAAAATACATGTTAGTAACTTTACTGGTTTATTATTTACTTTGCTGTTAATTATTATAGTAGTAATAAACTGCTTAAATAAAATATTACATGTTTATATGCTACATTTAGCAATCTACATTCCAATTCCGCTTCACTATATAGTTGCGACAGGGGTTTCGCTCATATAACTATAACTCGTTAGCGAAAATGCATGAGCACTAATTTATATTTCGCTTACATATTATGCTCTCGTGGGACCTGATATTGACGTAATTATAAGCATGAAGATACTTAAGTTTCGTTTTCTTGTATGATAAATTGTGGCAAAGGATGACTTTTTTGTCATACGTACATTCGGCAACCGCTACAGCAAAACAAAACAAATTACAGTAAATGACAACCGCGGTTGTTCTGTTTTGCTGTAGCGGTTGCCGAATGTATGACAAAAAAAAAATCATCCTTTGCCACAATTTATCATACAAGAAAACGAAACTTAAGTATTTTCATGCTTATAATTACGTCATTATCAGGTCCCGCGCGAAGAACTTAATATGTAAGCGAAATGTAAATTAGTGCTCATGCATTTTCGCTAACGAATTGTTTATGAGCGAAACCCCTGTCGAGATAGGTATTAAAAACAGATTGAACTGATTCAGTGTGGATATGGCAAGCTAACCTGGACACAAGTGTATCGAGAAATGTAAGTGATAGTCGAGAACTGTATACAATAGATGATAAATGCATACTATACTCCAGATTGGTGTAAGCGATAGTCGAGAAATGTAAACGGTAGTCGCGAATTGCGTAAGCAATGCTCGAGTAGTGTACACAATAGACGATAATTCAAAAAGTGTACGATAGTCGAGAAGTATTTTATAGGCAATACAGTAGTTGCGAAATGTACAATATACAATGGTCGAGACTTCTGCCCGCTGTTTGTGACGTCAGCGGTATCTGATCGGAACTAATCGAAACTTGCCGAATACTTGCCGTCGTGTAATTGTAGCGTATGCAATATATTTACACACGTCGACAGTCGGATTGCCAGCCATGTACTCAGTTGTATTGTTAGCTTTTGTTGCAAAAAATAAATATTTATATACTAGAAGTTACTATCATAAGGAAAGTGCTGCCTCATCCCCAAGGGATCAAAGGCAGCATGCGCAATTTGCTGAATAAGGGGCTGTTTATATGATCCCGCTTTGCCAGGATGAGATATGAGGCGGGATGATTTCGATGTATTGAAATAAGTCATGGTCTACAACTGACAACATTTGAGTTCTGTTAACCAGCATTTGAACTCTAATTTAACCTAGTGATTGAAATACATCAAAATCATCCCACTTTCCATCATGTAAACAGGGGAAACGACAAAACGCAGACCCCAGGTCCACGGATTACCTTCATGGACCTGGTCCGTGCACTACACTCGTGGACCACTCGCAAAATTTTGGCGATCGGACAATACACCGAGCACTATTAACCCAAGTTTAGGAAGCCGAGATTTGCAGGAACCACAATCATTCGAAGTGCAACACAATTTCATTATTCATTTCCATTATTTATTTCACATGCAATCAATTCAGTTTTCGTCGATGTACCGTGCATACTAGTCCAGTAAAAATTTGGTTCATGAAAAAAACATAGGAATGTTTTTGAGAATCTGGAGTTGTGGTCCCAGAATCTGGAGTTGTGAGGGGGTATTTGAAGGATTTTACTGAATTATTTGCAATGACATTTCAATGCTTGCAGGTCCAGGATTTTAAAGCTACATTACTGCTTTTCTTGCATTTTCTGTAGCGATCGAAAAGAAAAAAATCATCAATTGATTTTAAGGGCATATTCGGAAACTTTGCATTAAAGTCGTAATTGTACAGCTTATATTTTAGAATGGTCATATTATATATAGTGAATGGATTTAGAACTTCACATTTTGTGTAGAGTTTCCACGATGATAATGACGGAACTCGACTCATGCACATTTTTCCACGCACAGTAAGGAATTCAATCATGCAAACCAGCAAAATCTGGTGTTTTGCGAGTGGTCCACGAGTGTAGTCCATGAACCAGGTCCACAAAGGTAGTCCACGGACCTGGGGTCCGCGTTTTGTCGTTTCCCTGTAAACAGCCCCTAAGATGCCTGTTCAGAATGTAGGAAAAGTGCATTTTGAATACCAAAACACCTTGCACAATGTAGAAGGTTAGCTAAATATTCTAATTCTTCTTAGCTTGCCACTGAATACTGTACAATATCACATATGTAAACAATAATAATACTTGAATGAATCATTGGACATGTAGAATTTAATAACAATTTCATATGGCACCTTGAAGGCTATGTTCACAGAACTGAACAATCTGCTGATGGGGAGACACAATCTATTTGTTGACATTTTTGTTTAATATGTCTGCTTCAGATGACTGTTCATGGCTAGCTTGTCACTCAATACTGTACAATATCATATATATAAACAATAATAATACTTGAATGAATCGTTGGACATGTACAATTTAATTAGCCTCCTCCGCAGGCATCGCCGTTAAATTATCGGACAAAATTTTTTGCAGGCAAAAAACGGAGATGCCTGCGGAGTTCATGTGGCTACTATGTGACTCTTGACGCGTTCATGTGGCTACTAACTCTTGACAAAGGGCCTTTGCTCGAAACGTCGAGTTTCTGCTTGTTTTTTTTTCAGGTATTAATATAGCCACTCAGCACAGCAAATCAGTCACACTGGTACCACCCACACTGGTACAGACTGTTTTAGTATGATCACAGAACAACTGAACAATCTGCTGATGGGGAGACAAAATCTATTTGTTGACATTCCTGTTTAATACGTCAGCTTCAGATGACACCGTTCATTTGTAATGACTAAGATTGTACTCAGTCATAACTGCAAAAATATATACTACGAAATATAGTATACCCTGAACACAGCCAGGTGAATATGTGAATGTAGGTTGGTAGCCAGTAGGATTATTTCATATTATGCTAACAATAGACATATCTCAGAGAAGATATTTTTACAGACCGTCATACCTCGTACAAAAGGCGGTTGACATGTTATATTACATGTAACTGCTGGTAAGTTAGCTAATATGTGCAGACAACAATCCACACTGGTCACTGGGTTAACTGCATGTGTTGCTATAGGAATACGAAATATATTTACATTTATATATTAAAAAGCATACACAACATTCCGCGTTTGTTTTTAAAACGTGCTGAAAGCACATAATTTGCTATATCTATGTGCATCTTTGTACATCTAGAATGAACACTATAAACTCTTAAATCTTCTACCACTGGAATTCCGAAGATATAAACAAATATTTATGCACTTACAAGCCCGGCTATCAATCTCGCAACTATGACGAAAATAACTTCCACCTCATTATAAAACATAATCAGGAATACTTTCAAAACTCTTACTTTATTAGATCTTTGGAACAGCCTACCAACTGAAATTAAGAAATCCAGTAGTTTATGTTCGTTTAAAACTCGTTTAAATAACTTATAAAGTATCAAGTCAAAACCATACAAACTTCCTAACAACCGTAGCTAATATTTAGTTTTGTGAAGAAAATGTTTGTAATATAAGTACTAAGTATTTAGTTTAGTTCAGTAAAGTTCACTCACTAGCTCGGTGTAAGAACAACCGTAAATCAGTTAGAATTTAAATAATGATCAAGTTCAGATTAGTGTTAATATTTCGTTTGTTCTCACACCGAGAAAGTGCCTATGAAGTATATATGGGGTGAGGTATTAATTGGGAAGTAATTCCTGTTCCACATTCCAGTCACGTGTGTTGTCTTGTAGCTTGTTAAGGTATATTGTTTATCAGTATCATTGTAAATATTTGTGGCAAATTTAATAATAATAATAATAATAAAACTCATCGCCACTCTGCCGATAAATTGGTGAAATCATATTGATTGTTTCAAATACCTCATATCGAACACTTTTAACAGCAGATCTAAGTATAAATGCCTTCATGTAATATCATCAGAAATAAATAAAGCTATATCCTTACCTGAATTATTCAAAATATTGTCGATTTGTAAAAATCCAACAATCAACATGCCAAGTGTATCATGCGAGCGCAATACAAAATAAATTTTGACCGCCCCCCTCGTTTAAAAAAACCTCCTGAAGCCTTAATTATTTCCCCGGAATTACGACATCTTTACATACAAACAGACAGACACAAATTCACAAATCGAAATCTCGATCGACTATACATAACTCGGCCAAAGAGACTGGACACAAGTAAACACAGGCACGCAATACTTCATGTCAAGAACAGTGTGCTGCCTTCGGCAGCAATTAAAATATGGCAATTATATTATAAACAAGCTTTCGTTGGTTGGTATAGGGGTACAACTACCTGAAAATATATACGGAGAATTTCGACGTTTCGAGCGGAGGCCTTTCCTCTGCAGTAACTCCAGACTAAAGGCCTTCGCTCGAAACGTCGAAATTCTCCTTTTATATTTTCAGGTAGTTGCATCCGTACCAACGAAGGCTTGTTCATTTTATTGGCACTATACCTGCACTGGCAAAAACAGTTCAAAATGATATTATAAGGCAGATGTTTCAACGATAGACAAATTATCGAATGCAATATCACCCCGACCTAATCAAGTCAAGAAAATCGAGTCAGAGGAAAGACGTACTTTCATAGAGAAAGAAGCACGAACTCCAACAGACAGTTTCCAATTCCTTGAAAGACGGTACAGACCGCGGTATCGTATTCAATCACGCAATATTTTGGCGACAACAAAGCCAATTATGCGAGATTTGGTTTTATTAATTGGCCCAGATGACGACGTGGTACGGCGGCAAGGAACTTGTCTCGCTCTAAATGAAAGGGGGCATGCTATTTCTGGCTGCCGATTCACCAAAAGTCAGTCAATGATTGAGATTGATCTGGTTCTCATTACCTATATCTAGACTTATCCTGCAATTCCACACCAGTTCAATCCTGTTTCTCTCAACTGTTCGATTTGGACCTTGGTAATATTGTAAGGAGGTCTTCCTCCTGTACTGGACAACAGCGAAATCACATCTCGCGCTTCATTACATATTTTATTGTGTTCCCTGAATAGGGATTTTCAACACTGATCTACAATGAATAAGATGTTTGCGATGTTACTCTGAGTGCATATCCACACCGGGCGAGCTTGAAAAATATGCCCGGCCACGGTGGGATTCGAACCTACGACCTTTGGAATACTAGCCCAATGCTCTTCCAACTGAGCTACGCGGTCAGGACGGTTCGAGTAAGTGATATTTCGGAACAGTATCTAGTTCCTTCAATACCAATGTGTTCTTGTAATATGAATTTTTTCTGTGATGGTGTTGTGTACTAAGGTGAATAATATGTTTGTTATGTTACTCTGAGTGCATATCCACACCGGGCGAGCTTGAAAAATATGCCCGGCCACGGTGGGATTCGAACCGTCCTGACCGCGTAGCTCAGTTGGAAGAGCATTGGGCTAGTATTCCAAAGGTCGTAGGTTCGAATCCCACCGTGGCCGGCATATTTTTCAAGCTCGCCCGGTGTGGATATGCACTCAGAGTAACATCGCAAACATATTATTCACCTGAGTACACAACACCAACACAGAAAAAAAAATTAATAAGATGTTGTACTATTTACTAGTTTTAGAATCTAACATTTAAATTAAGGTAAAAAGGATAAGACATTTGTATAGAGCTTCAACAAGATAAATTATCTACTTATATATTTGTTCTAGCATGCTTCGCTTAGTCAGTTCTCGGTTTTAAAACGTTTTTAGTGAGTTTAATTCACTTTTTGTACTTAATGTCCAGATCGTTCCAGAGTGTAACCCCTCTATAATGGAAGACCTTTGACCTGCAGAAGTTTTATACAGAGGTATTTCTAGCGAGTCATGGTTGCGTGTATCTCGTTGATGAATGTCAGAACGTTTCGTGAATAAATCGCTCAAATAATGTGGAGCACGACATTTGTACATCATTTTTGCTTCTCTAAGTAGTGACTGATCCTTCACTGGGAGCTAGTTGAGTTCACGTAAGCCTGGCGAAATGTGGTCGAACTTTCCAATATTTGTTATTATCCTCCACGCAAAATTTTGCACTGTCTGTAGCTTCTTAGTATTGGCAGACAAACCGTTGAACAATAATACATTTTGTTCATTACAAGTGTCGAAACGATAAAAGTTAAAGCTTCTTTATCGAAACATTTTTTGACTTGGTTTATTAACTTTATTTGGCACAGGGAATTCATACATGCACGAGGAAACCAGATTGGTGATATGCTGGTCATATGTCAAATAAGAGTCGAGTGTCATTCCTAGATCTTTGGCGAGAGGAACAGGGATAATAGTGTCGCTGAGGAAATTTATGGTCATATCTTCGGGAAGTTGTTGAAGGTTTTGCTGTGTACCAATCAGCATGTATTTGGTCTTTCCTGGGTTAATAAGCAATTCATTTTCAGAACAACGATTATAGCAACCAAATAAAGATCTTCCTCTAGTTGTTGCTTTAAACAGTCCACGTCGACCGCAGAAAAAGATAGTAATGTCTTGGAATTGTCCACGTACGATTCAAGTTTACTGTGATGGACTGATGAGGGCAAATCGTTAGTATAAATACTAAAACGTAAAGGTGATAAAGTTGCACCCTGTGGTACACCATAAGACACAGGGAGAGGAGTAAAAACAGTTGATCCACTTCTAACTCTTTGTGTTATTCCGCTTAAGTAGCTCTCAAACCATTTTACAACGCTTGGAGAAGCCCCGACGTTGCTAAGTTTTGTAAGGAGAAAAGTATGATTTACATTGCCGAAGGCTTTTGATAAGTCTAATATATAGCATCAGTGCAGTAATTAACCAATTTCTCGTCCATAGCCTTTAGGTATCTCAGGTCAAAAGATTCAGTGTTTCACATGATTTATGTTTCTTGTTCCCGCTTTGGTGTGTTGACATTCTTTTGTTCTTCATTAGATATGAGCCAAATTGAGTTAAGGCGACTTTTTCACAAATTTTCGAAAGAATGATAAGAAGAGAAAGTGGGCGATTATTTGATGCTTCCTCAAGGTTTCCATCTTTTAAGAAAGAGATAACTTCTTCATGCTTCTTTCCATGCTTTAGGGAACGAAGATGACGTCAGTGAACAGTTAATGATATCGGTGAGGGGCCCAAGAATAACCGGTAAGCTGTGTTTGAAGACACACATACTGATTGTGTCTTTGCCGGGTGATTTGTTTGACGGCATAGCCGATATGATGTTCCTTATTTCTGAACAAGAGACTGGGTGAAACTAAATCTATCAGTTTCATCAGGATAGCTGTTATCTGGACAATTTACGTCAGAAAGATTCCGGACTAGAAAAACACTAAGATCTTGTATTAATGTTGACTGCCAATGACTGGGGCTTTCTTAGCTGCATTCTCACCGATGGTGGAAAAGAAATGATTCAACTCTTCGGCCACTAATTTCGGTTCCTTACTATAAACCACTGACTATCTTTACCTATACGCTACAGTTTTTTTTAATTAACTTCCGAAGTGACCCAGTGTTATTTCTGTGTTGCCGAACTTCATTCAGAACGTATTCTTTCTGTGCATTAACAAGTGCAGTTTTTGTGAAATTGCGGGCCTCTCTAAAGTTAAGTCAATCATAATGATCACGTGTTTTCCTGAAAAGACTGTGGAGCTGGTCTCTGTGGAGCTGGTCTCTATGCTTTTATTTAATAATAAATGCTTAATAAATGGACAAGATTTTCCATGTACTTTTATAGTCTTTATTGGGGCGTGTTTATCTAATGTATTTAAAAAAATTATTTCGTTAAAAATGCTTAATTTTTCATCAACATTGTCCATTCTGAAAATGGGGACAAGACGATCAAGATTAGATGCCAGATCGGTCACAAGCAAATCAGGGTCGTATTTATTGTAGCTGCGGGTAGTGATATAGGTTGGTAGAGCTTTGTCGGTTTACGTTTTAGTGATACATACACAGGGAAATGATCGCTAATACACGTTTCAATGACGCCGCTGTTGACTACAAGTCTTGGCGAAGATACGAAAATAACGTCAACGAGGATCTGACTGGATTCAGTAATTCTTGTTGGTGATTTAACTAACTGATGAAGGTTGAGTTCTACGGTCCCCTTGGTCAAAGTCGCTGATCCAGGTGTGGGCTTAAGCATATCGCAGTTAAGGTCTCCAAGAAAAATTATCAACTTTCCCATCTTCAGAGCTTGAACATAATTAGGTTTGAAATACTTTTCGAAACAGTCCAGCGGGCTGTCAGGAGGTCGATAGGAGTCGAAAACCAGCAGTAATTTAGTTTTTTGTGCTGCAGTTTGATCCATAGTTGATGGAAATTTGTCTCGGAGATATAGCTGAGGTCTTTAAGTACAAGCGATTTGATATATTTTCGTATTCAAGCACATACCCCACCCCCTTTCTTGTGCAGTCGGTGTAGACGATGCAGCTTATAAATTTATATTTCCTTGTTTGTGACGAAGGTATTTAACCATGTCTCTGATGCTGTAAAGACGTCAATTTTGCTAAATTTGGTAAACTTACGTAGTTCTACAAAACGGGCGTTGTTTTTCAGATGAGCGGATACTTAAATGAACCCGTTTGAGACCTGGAAGGGTACCAACTTTTTTTTAAAGGGGCTAAGGCCGTGTCATTAGTAGTTTTGGACGTGAGAGACAGCGAGGGTACAAATGCATTTGGCGAAGCAAGGTTGGACAAAGTAACGCGAACGAGATTTCTATTTTGCAAGTTGTTGTTCACACAAGAATGATGAATGATTAGTTAGTGTGATGATGGTCTCTGACGTGAAGTAATTCTAACTGGTATTTTCATCCCATTGTCTGCTGCTGTCTCGTCAAGCAGGACACTGTGTCTTCATAGGACATACAGGGCATGCAACTTTTTACAACATCGGCTAGTTTCCTCAATTCTCTCTCCAATGCGGCAAAAGTTGTCTAACAAGTGCCTAATGATGGCAAGTATTCGGCAAGTTTAGATTAGTTCCGATCAGATACCGCTGACTCAACAAACAGGCAAAAATCTCGACCATCCTATACATTTCTCAACTATTGCCTAAACACTTCTCGATCATCGTACACTTTTTGAATTCTCGTCTATTGTGTTCACTCTACTCGAGCATTGCTTTGTCATACTTCTCTTTGGCATTCGCAATTACGAATCGGCGCGATTTGTTTTCCAGTCAAATATTACGTCTTCTAAATGAATTTAATTAAAACTCAATACCGACCAAATATAGTTAACCAAGTTTAGTTGACCGTGCGCGTAAGGGGACTGAAACTGATGTCAAAGAATGCCTTCCTGATCTGCCATGTTTGGTTTTATGTCGGCCTTCCATGTATGCAATTCAGTGCATGATCGCCACCCCGTCGTTTTCAAACCACTGAGCTGTACAGTAACTGGAGAACGCAGCTGGTCAGTAATCCACAGAACGCAGCTGGTCAGTAATCCACATATAGTAATTACCGGTTAAAATTGGATTTTTTCTAGAAGTGCTCGATCGACATGCATGCAATAAATAAATTTGGAAATGAGAAAAGCCAAACTATAACTTATTATTATATGGTTTTTCAAAATTGTCTATTCTGATCACAGGAGGCCCAGGCTCGATTTGCCTGCGCCCGCCTGTGCTTCCTTATAACGAGGGAAGGACGGAGACATTGAGACCAAAATAGCCCAGACTTGGCATATGTCACACGAAACTATCCTCGATTTTTCGCTTTTAATGCATTTCTTTCACGATTAATCGATATCCCCTGCAAGAATGATACCGTATAACTCTCAAAACAACGATGCTTTAATCAAAGAACTTAAATTCGCTCTGAAATCCGTGAGGGAATAACAAAATTCGGCCAAAATATATCCGCGTGCCGGGTTTGCTGTGCAAAAAGCGGAAGTCGTTGAACAACTCAAAATACACTCAACCCTGATTGGACAACGAATATCAACAAACATTCTGTAATAATTTCAATCATACAATCAAAACTATTCACAAACGTTATAATAAAGTGTAAATATTACTGCATGTATATATAACTGTAGTACGTTAATATGTATAATAAATTGTATTTAACATTTTGTTTGTTAAAAAAAATTGAAATGTTTGTTGATATTCGTTGTCCAATCAGGGTTGAGTGTATTTTGAGTTGTTTAATAATGCTTTAATGAAATACTCCTAAAACAGTATTATACTACACTAGGAGGTCCTGGAGTTATATACTGAAAAACTAGATAATATTTATATTTATTTACAAGAAATTAGTCTTCATAGTCACTGTATGACACATATATTAGGCGGTGATTATAGAATGATGTTGTTATATGTTATTAACAACAACGATGGCAAAAGCGTCAAACGACAATAACAACAACGACAACAACTCAGGACTACAAAACTAACATATAGTACAATACAAACGATTCAAAACGATACTAATTAGTTATATTAAGTGACTTAATTGAAGGCATGGCAAGTGTTTTGAAACTTGGGGTTGATTGGCAAAGATTGTTAAATGGGATGTGGTGCCAGGTAACGATTGTTCTTGGATAAAATGAAAACTTATATACATTGACACACGACTGAATTTGGCGGTAAGGACAGATATTAGGCAGCCTTGATGCTCTAGTCAAAGGACACACGTCATCAGGAAGATTGATTCCAACAAGGCCTTGATGGATCTTGTAGAACATAGTGGCTTGGTGTAGCAGTCGCCGTTGTTGGAGATTGTCCCAACCCAGATGGTCGATCATTGGAGAGACGTGGCTAGCTCTGGAATAGTCATTGAAGACAAATCTAGCAGCTCTGCGTTGAACCATCTCGATCTTGTTGATGTTCCTCTTGGTGTAAGGGTTCCAAACTGTAGAAGCATACTCAAGTTGTGGACGGACAAGACTAGTATACGCTCTTGACTTAACAGCAGCGCTACATTCACCAAGGATTCTTCTAAGTAAGCCAAGAGTGCTATTTGCCTTACTACATATGATGTCACAATGTTTGTTCCAGTTCAAGTTGTGGTTTATAGTAATGCCCAGGTATTTGGTAGAAGATACACTGCTAATGATTTGATTATTCATCATATAGCTATATGTTTCAGGGACACGTTTATTAGTAATTCCTAGGTGGTAGCATTTTGAGAAATTGAAATTTAGTTGCCACTTGTTGGCTCAATTATTTAGATTGTCTAAATCCTCTTGTAACGTGACGTGGTCCTGATCGTTATTAATATCTCTATAAATGATTCCATCGTCAGCAAATAAGCGAATTTGGGATTTAATATTCTCAGAAATATCGTTTATATAGAGAAGAAATAAGACAGGTGCGAGAATTGTTCCTTGAGGTACTCCAGATATGACAGGTTGAGGGTGAGAGTGGGAGCCATTAACCGAGACAACTTGAGAGCGGTTGGAAAGAAAAGCCTTGATCCAATTGGCAGAAAGTCCTCTAATACCATAATGGTCTAATTTGGACATCAGACGAAGATGAGGAACAGAATCAAAGGCTTTACTGAAGTCTAAGAGAATCACATCGGTTTGTTTCTTCTGGTTGATACTTTTTGCCCAATCGTTGATTGCCGTAATTAGTTGAGTCTCACACGAAAATAGTTTGCGAAATCCGTGTTGTTCGTTAATTAGAATATCATGATATGCTAAGTGCTTTGAAACATGGCTAAGAATGATATGTTCCATGACTTTGCAACACAGACACGTCAGAGAGATTGGACGGTAGTTGGCTGGGTTGGATTTTAAGTCCTTTTTAAAAATAGCAGAAACAAGGGCCTTTGACCAGTCAGGTGGAAGTGTACCAGAATCATAGGATTATTGGAAAATGAAACAAAGCCAGTGCGAAATTGATGGAGAAAGTTCTTTAAGGATTCTAGCTGGGATTTCATCAGGACCACAGGCCTTACTGGGGTTAAGTTCAGAGAGTTGCTTGGCTACACCTTGGGAGTTGATGATCAAATCTGAGATGGAGGTGTATGGAGATTGACCTTTATTTGGAATTGGAGCATTCTCACGGGTGAATACTGAATGGAACTGGGAGTTAAGGGCGTCAGCTTTTGATTTATCAGAAACACATAATTTGTCGTTGAATTTTAAAGGAGGTATGCCAGAGCTCTCAGATTTACTTGTACGTACATACGACCAGAATTTCTTTGGATTGGTGTCTAAGCTTGCGCCAATAACGTCATTCAGATAACTACTGTGAGATTGTTTGACGAGACGAGAGAATAAGTTCCGTTCTTTCTTGAACTCATCCCAGTGTTTAGGTTTGTGAGATTTGTTCAACGACTTCCACTTTTTGCACAGCAAACCCGGCACGCGGATATATTTTGGCCGAATTTTGTTATTCCCTCACGGATTTCAGAGCGAATTTAAGCTCTTTGATTAAAGCATCGTTGTTTTGAGAGTTATACGGTATCATTCTTGCAGGGGATATCGATTAATCGTGAAAGAAATGCATTAAAAGCGAAAAATCGAGAATAGTTTCGTGTGACATATGCCAAGTCTGGGCTATTTTGGTCTCAATGTCTCCGTCCTTCCCTCGTTATAAGGAAGGCACAGGCGGGCGCGGGCAAATCGAGCCTGGGCCTCCTGTGTTCTGATTGGCTGACCGTGGTCCGTATTTTCCGTATCTGGACCGGTGTCCCGGATGTCGTTTATCTGGCGGGAAATTTTTGCTTTGCAAACAGAAAAAAATTTTGCTTTTTAATTTTCCAATTATGTGTCATTAAAATTTACAGATAAAAATTTCAAACAACCAAATTGCTTTTGATTGAGCATGCATGCCTACCGTATATTGTTACCCAGTATAGCCTATTTAATTCGCGCGAAAAGCATATGCTCACAGACTCAGTTCAGCCATATAATAAATCGATTATTGACCTCGCTTGTTTCCTCGTTATTGACCTCTGTTTTTGACATGCTAAAAAACCTCGGTCTGATATTTCACAGCACAGACCTCACGCTCGGTCAATAAGCCGTTATTATTATCAAACGAAAGCCAACCAATTTTCTCAATCAAAACAACAAGTCACTGATTAACACCTGGCCAGGCCAAAAATGTGAATCTACCAATAGAGCGTTTGCGCTCATTCCCCAGGGACCAACTCAACAAAAGGTCACAAATTAAAGCCATGGCGGCCATGTTGGTCAGTTCCAGACAAAATTATGCCTATAAGCCTATGTACTTTAAGGTTCTCTGGTACATCTAGCACTAAAATTAGTTAAAACGCTAGCTTTTTTAGAGTAGGAAAGCTGTTACTAAACCTTTCCCAAACAAAACGCTCTATTACTAGTAGGTTAGTAGCGT